AATGTCATAAAACAATATGTGTACTACTGTTTCATGAGAAACTATTTGTTCTGTAAGCCTTCACCTGAAGTACAATAAAAAAAAAAAAAAGATGTTATAAAATAAGATCATGCATTTTTACCTCTAGGAATATCTCGTACAAGGCAAACCACTCCCTCCCTCAAGTACTTGTGGCAGCATTTCAGGTGGAAGCAATCTTATATACAAAAACAATCCAGTTTCTCTTCTGTGAAAGTATATAATTTAAAGAAATTTAAGATATTATTAAGGAAAAAAGTCTTAGTCCATTGAAGATTGATAGAAAGCACCAAATTGTGGGATTTAAAATGTTTCCTTTTTTAAAATCACCCAGAATACATAACCTCCATACAAAGAAAAATATAAAAATTCTGGGTGTTCCTATTTCATCACACTACATAATTTAGGATGAAATTATGTCATTGGTTAAAAGTTATTTTCTACTTTACTTATTCCTTTGATAGCATTAATTTGTGAACTAAAATTTGTATTTAGTTCAGCTGCTTTTATGGCACAAGATCTCATTTTCAAAACAGTGGCACCAATTGTCCTTAAATGTAACAGCACTATTTTTAGTAGCAATTATATTTTTAAAAGGCTAACAATTGGTAAAACAGAACGTTTTAACTATATTTTCTACTTTTACTCACCAGCTATAATATTTATAAAAGGCTGAGTTAAGTCTGGAAACCCTGGTGCCATAATGGTTAAGTACTACGGCTGCTAACCAAAAAAGGTCAGCAGTTCGAATTCACCAGGTGCTCCTTGGAAACTCCATGGGGCAGTTCTGCTCTGTCGTATAGGTTCACTGTGAGTCGGAATCGACTCAATGGTAACAGGTTTGGTTTTTTGGTTTTAATTAAGTCTACATATAAAACTATCTTTCATTCACCTGCACCCATATCTTAACCAAAGGATTTCTTCTACTTCATTTCTGACCTGGCTGGGGAAGTGCAGCAGTTTGAGAAAGGTGCCCATGTGTTTTAGATGGCTACCCACTGCCCTTGAGTTGACTGCAACTCACAGAGATGCCATAGGTTTTCCAAAGGCTGTAAATCTCCAGGGAAGCAGACTGCCACATCTTTTTCCCTCCTAGCCGCTGATGGTTTAGCAGTGGAGTGCCTTAATTACTGCGCCATCATGGCTCTTTATTTAGCTCCTTATTTAGATGGGTAGATGGAATTTTTAGATGGGTTTCTTGATTTTAAGCTAGTACAATGGCAATCATAAAATCAAATAATTCAAGGTATGCTACACTGTCCCAAAAATTAGCTATATGATAAATAGTATGTAAGAGCTCGGCTGCTAACCAAAAGGTCAGCAGTTCGAATCCACCAGCCGTTTCTTGGAAACCCTATGGGGCAGTTCTACTCTGCCCTATAGGGTCACTATGAGTTGGAATTGACTCGATGAAAACGGGTTTTTGGTTTTGAGACATTCTAAGAGTGCCTTAACAATATTAGCCCGTAACGACTGAACAGCAAGAAAGCCATTTTTATTCAACTGTGATGTGATGGCCACTGACTGGACATTTAAGGTTCAACTCCAATCCTGTGGATACTGGTAAACAGAGGAGTTTAACTGAAGAGGTGACACTAAATTTAAAAACTGAAAATACGTTTTAAAAGCAATTTACGTTGAAGGAAATTTGGTGGTAAGGTAGTCTGTAAAACCAGATCACTGATAAGCAGAGTTGGCAACTGAACATAAAAATGCCATGAATATAGTTTTCATGATACGATGTATTTACGTGCATTTTGCTAACAATACTTTCCTAAAAATCACCAGCTCCACAGGGTGGTACTTTGTGTTAAACTACTCTTGGATTATAGCGGAAACAGCCATCAGGTAAGCTAGGGACATAATACCAGTTTGAAATTGAGACAAATGAGTTGACAAATCCCTGAAAAGAGCAAATTAAATCTTTTGTCAAAATAGTTATTGGACAATACAAAAAGTCTAAATCTGAATTTATAAACTAAAATTGTGATCCTGTGAAAACAAATTTTGGGATGAATGTAAAATTAATATCAATAATTATTATTTTTACCAATTCTCACCACAGAAGGATTTGTTGAATATGTCCATGCTGTGAAGGAGAAAGCAATAGGGGGAAATATACCCACTAGTAAGTTGACCTGATAAACCATAGACTGATGTCAAATGGACAAAAACGGTGAAAAAAACAACCAAAATAACACATAGGGGAGAGGCACAGTTAAGGCATCTTTAAAAAAAAAAAAATCCACATGGCTTTGGTTTATTAAAATATTGTAGACTTTCTTTCTTTTTTCTTTTCTTTTCTTTTCTTTTTTTTAATAAAAGACTGTTTGAAAGCGTCTGATAAACATGCAAAATGTTTGAAAACCCTGCATGGCAAATTCAGACAGTTGGCAAGCGTCATTCAGATGTTTGCTAAGGAAAATAAAGCCTCTCTCCTGATGAGATATACAGGGTGGTAGAGGTCTCCAGGTTCACTCTGTCTTACAGAGGGCTGTGTAGCAGTTACAGCCAAGGCGTTATTATCTGGGAGGTAAGGGACCTTGGAATTTCCATTGGTTGGGGAACAGCCTAGCTTTAGTTTTTCCAGATACTCTGTATGTAGGGGATTATGACGCTGGAGAACTTTGATGGCATCTTCTGTTTTGAACCACTCTCTCTTCCTTCCTATGTTAACAGAATCTTTCTAATCTTCTAATACTTTCGAGACCCCAAGAACATAAACTTATGCCCTGTGCTTTTGGTCTTGGTTCTCAAATACTCCCAGGAGTCTGCCTAACTTTCCTTTGACTCCAGCCTCTTTGTAAATCTCCCTTAGGGCAGCACCGCCAGGCTCCTGCTGAGGCTCCATTCTGCTTCCTGGAAGAATCCACTGGTCTGAGAACCGACTGCTACTCAGTCTCAGCACCTCGTTCTCCCGCTGGCTCAGGAAGCACCGGGATGCTGCGCTATTCTTGAAGCCCTCGCGGATGTAGGTCGGCGTCTTTTTTGCCTTCAACTTCATCACATAGGCGGGTTTTTGCTGCTGCTTCTGTTCCAGTCGCTGCTGCCAGGCTGGCCTCCGCCACTCCGCCAAGGAGCGCGGGCGAGGGCGACTCGGGGTGCAGGGTCGCCAGGCGCGCCGTGATGCGAGGGAGCGGCGCTGGAGGCGGCGAGGCCGGCCGGTTCCGGGGCCGGCTACCGCTCCTACGCGATGCAGGACGCAACCGTGGGTCAGGGGAGCCAGGGTGCCAGGGTGGAAGCTCCGCCTCTGCCCGTGCGTCCGCTGCTCTCCAGGGAACCCGCCGCCTCCACCAGGGAAGAACGCAACTCCAGCCCTTTGGAGTCAGTTGGGAGGACTAGGCAGCAGCAGCGCCGCGCTGGCCTCAAGTCAAATTCTTGATAAACATATTCACCCTGTTCCAGTTTCCATCCAACCCAAAGTTTTTCTTTATTTACTCATTAAAGCGTTAATGCTATAAGGATAATGAGTCAAATTCTCTATCTCTTCCTCTCTCTTTGTCTCTTCCTCCCTCCCTCTCTCTGCATTTCTCTGCAAATGGTAATCTTGGGACAAATTTCCTAATCATCTTTCTTCTCTACAAGGTCTGAGAGTAGTCGAGCTACTGTTATGACCAATATTAAGAGTTTAGTTTAATCCAAAATAAATCATTTTAAGTGAATCTTGTAAATTTAGCGTTAAGCCAGTAACAAAAGATGTTGTTCTTATTAGGGGTCTACTCAGAAATATTATTAACAAGCATATATTTGCTTTAATTTTTCCATATAATCGACATACTCCTCCCCTTTGCATTAAACGGATAATTTTTGTACCATCAGATTTCCTGGGGTAGAATATTAATATTGTTGTTGTTAGTTGCCATACAGTCCATTCCATCTCAGGGTGACCCCATATATGTAGACTAGAACTGTTCTGCAGAGTTTTCAAGGCTGTGACCTTTTGGAAACAGATCACCAGGCCTGTCTTCCAAGGTGCCTCTAGGTGGATTCGAACTGCCAATCTTTCAGCTAGCAGTTGAGCACTTAACAATTTTTGCCACCGAGGACAGAATATTAATATAAAATTTCAAAACTGGTTTCAAATTCCACCTAGGGATTCTAGGATACCAACATATAAGAGAAACAATCATTCTCTGGGTTAACAAGCTTCCTAATTTCCAAGGGCAAGAATATAAAAGATGAGTAAGATCTACCCAAGTAAGTTTCTAGCAAGTTCTTATAGCATCTAGTTCTTTCTTGAATTTTATAATTTTATCCCATGACTGCTCCAGAGAGCTCAGAACTTGTCTTATTGTATTCTATTCTATTTAATACTGCTATTTCATTCTCTGCTTGGCCTAAGAGTGCCGTAGAGGAGTCAACATGGAAATTTCTAGAAGTTCTGAAACAAGAGTACAGTTGATGCTTCAAAGAGCATGTGTCATGGATTGAATTTTGTCTCCCCAAAATGTGTGTCAACTTGGCTAGGCCATGATTCCCAGTATTATGTGATTGTCCACCATTTTGTGATCTGATATGCTTATCCCACATATTATAAATCCTAACCTCTGAGGTGTTATGAAGCAGGACTCAATCTACAGGATTAGGTTGTATCGTGAGTCAATTTCTTTTGAGTTATAAAAGAGAAAATCGAGCAGAGAGGACAGGGAACTCATACCATCAAGAAAGAAGAGCCAGGATCAGAGTGCATCCTTTGGACCTGGGGTCCGGGTGCTGAGAAACTCCTAGACACAGGAGAAGATTGATGACAAGTACCTGCCCCCAGAGCCGACAGAGAAAGCCTTCCCCTGAAGCTGGAGCACTGTATTTGAACTTCTAACCTTCTAAACTGTGAGAGAATAACTAACAGAGCCTGAGATAAATGGCAGAAGGGAATCATGAAAATGGCTCATCAGGATTGCACATAACCTTGCACTTTGCTCTCATTATTTCAGCATCCGGTGGGGATACTGTGATGACTCAGACTCCACTCACTTTGCCCATCACTCTTGGAGAGCCAGCCACCACCTCTTGCAAGTCGAGTCAGAGCCTCCTACGAGGTGATGGAAATGCCTATTTATACTTGTTCCAGCAGAAACTAGGCCAGGCTCCATGGCCCCTGATCTATATGGTTTCTAACTGTTTCTCTGATGTACTAGGCAGGTTCAGTGGCACTGGGTCAGGGACAGATTTCACTTTTGACATCAGCAGGGTGAAGGCTGAGGATGTTGCAGTTTATTACTGCCAGCAAGCTACACAACTTCCTCCCACAGTGATACAGCCCCGCACACAAATCTGCTGCATGGTGTGACCCAGCTGCACAAATGTGGGGCCTGTGTGGGGAGCAGGCCCAGCAGATTCTCTGAGTCTGCTTGAGAGAAAGATGCTGGAGACCTGAGGGGAATGGGTTGCAGCTGAGGGCTCTGGACCACGAGAGCCTCAGCTACAGCTCAGACGCTGCCTGTTTGTGGCCCCATCAGGTACACCAGCCTTGAGGTGGCAGAGCCAGCAGGGAGGATGGAGAGGGTCCAAATACCTCTGAGCAACCAGATGTGACCCAGGGAGAGCTGACTGAGAGCTCAACTTAATCCTCCTGCCTGTGTACATTCATCAATTAAGTTTAGTCAGCATAACAGCTAGACAGTGACCCAAATTTGTAGTAAAAAATATTGAATACATGTGAATCTTTAGCAGTTTTTGGTATTTCTTATCAGGATAATATTTGGTGATACTCAGAAAGTGGTAGTTCCTCACTTTTCTAACTTTTACTTCCTATTTTTCTTACCAGTTGTACTTCCTCCTGTTATGCGGTGGTTGAAATAGCATTCTATGCTAACTATCCTCAGGGGGAGTGTGGCTAAGAAAAATTACTAAAGATGTTGGGTTTTGAGACTGAAAATAGCCTTTTGTAAATTTATATCAGACACAAGATTCTAAAAGTTTTTTAATGTCCCCCATTACCTCTTCCTGAGAGAAAAACGGAGTTCTTGAAATTCTAAAAGTTGAGTTTTGAAAATAAAAAGCATAAACTGAAAAACAAGCAACCCTATAGGACAGAGTAGAACTACCCCATAGGGTTTCCAAGGGGAGGCTGGTGGATTAGAACTCCCGACTTTTTGGTTAGCAGCTGTAGTTCTTAACCACTGCACCGCCAGGGCTCTGGTAATTCACGCCATATACCACTGGAAGGACATAGACTGATGAGATTTCTTTCTCTTGCAAAAGCTAAGAATTTTAAGGCTGAGGGCTGACTGCTGGAAATGGAAACATGAAGGGGACACAAGAGAGGTCAGCTATTGTCCCCTTGATTCTTTCCCAGGTGTGCTCCTTTGCCTGGACCAGGTCAGAATTCTGTCCACACACATATTTGGTTCATTTTACAGGAGACAAAAAGTCGTGTGGATATCTTCACAATCAGAAAGGATTCTTTTCTCTCTGGAATTTTAGGTCCTCTAGTCCTGGTTGCACAGTGGTTAAGAGCTCAGCTGCTAACCAAATGTTGGCAGTTGGAATCCACCAGCTGCTCCTTGGAAACCCTATGGGGCAGTCCTACTCTGTCCTATAGGGTCGCTATGAGTCAGAATCAACTCCAGGGCAACAGTTTTATTTTGTTTCATTTTATTTTTTAATCCTCATTTCTTCCAATCTCTGATAGCATTAAAATACATGTATTTTTTGCTTGTTTGTAGTTTTTGCAGTGGTTGTGTTGTTCTTCCAAATTCTACAATGTCTTACCTGGAAGTGGAGATTCCTTCTATTTTTTAATTTTATTTTATTGTTGTACTCTGAAAGTTTATGATTCAAGTTAGTCTCTCATACAAACATTTATACATACATTGTTATGTGACCCTAATCGCTCTCCCTAAACTGTGACAACACACTTCTCTTTTCCACTCCTGATTTCCTGCGTCCATTCAACCATCTCCTGACCCTCTTTGCCTTCTCATCTCACATCCATACGAGAGCTGCTCATTTAATCTCATGGATCTACTTGAGCTAAGAAGCACACTCTTCACGAATATCATTTTATGGCCCCTAGTGTAGTCTAATCTTTGTCTGAAGAGTTGGCCTCAGGAATGGTTTTACTTCTGGATTGACAGAGAGTCCGGGGGCCATGCTTTCCGGGGTTCCTCCAGTTTCAGTCAATTAAGTCTAATCTTTTTACTAGAATTTGAGTTCTGCACCCCACTTTTCTCCTGCTCCATCAGGGACTCTCTGTTGTGTTCCCTGTCAGGGTGGTCATTGGTGGTAGCTGGGCACCATCTAGTTCTTCTGGTCTCAGGCTGATGCAGTCTCTGGTTTATGTTGCTCTTTCTGTCTCTTGGGCCAATACTTTCCTTGTGTCTTTCGTGTTCTTCATTCTCCTTTACTCCAGGTGGGTTGGGACCAACGGATGCATTGTAAATGGCCGCTCGCTAGCTTCTAAGACCCCAGACACCAGAACAGTTTCTTAATACACTGTGTTATGCCAATCGACCTAGATGTCCCCTGAAAGCATGGTCCCCAGACCCCCACCCATGCTACTCTGTCCCTGGAAGTGTTTGGCTGTATTCAGGAAACTTCTTAGCTTTGATTTAGTCCAGTTGTGCTGGCTTCCCCTGTCGTGTGTGCTATCCTTCCCTTCACCTAACTTTTTTTTTTTTTATTGTTGTAGTTAAATGAAGTTTACATTTCAAGTTAGTCTCCCATACAAAATTTTATACATACGTTGTTATGTGACCCTAATTGTTCTCCCTATGCTGTGACAGCACACTCCTCCTTTCCGCCACTGATTCCCCATGTCCATTCAACTAGCTCCTAACCCTCTCTGCCCTTTCATCTCACCTCTGGACAGAAGTTGCCCCTTTGATCGGTTGTATCTACTTGACTAAGATGCACACTCTTCATGAGTATCACTTTATGTCCCACAGTCCAATTCAACCACTGTTTGAAAAATTGGCCTAGGAAATTGTTTTAGTTCTGAGCTGATAGAGAGTCCAGGGACCATGCTTTCTGGGGTACCTCCAGTCTCAGTCAGACCATTCAGTCTGCTCTTCTCACTAGAATTTGAGTTCTGCACCCCATCTTTCTGCTGCTCCATCAGAGACTCTCTGTTGTGTTCCCTGTCAGGGTGGTCATAGGTGGCAGCCAGGCACCATCCAATTCTTCTGGTCTGAGGCTGATGAAGCCTCTTGTTCACGTGACCCTTTCTGTCTCTTGGCCTAATACTTTCCTTGTGTCTTTGGTGTTCTTTGTTCTCCTTTACTTCCGGTGGTTGGGACCAAATGATGCATCTTATATGGCCGCTTGCAAGCTTTTAAGACCCCAGGTGCCACTCACCAAAGTAAGATGCAGAACATTTTCTTAATAAGCTTTGTTATGCCAGTTGACCTAGATGTCCCCTGAAAGCATGGTTCCCAGACCCCTACCCATGCTACTATGTCTCTCAAAGTATTTGATTGTATTCAGGAAACTTCTTAGCTTTGGTTTAGTCCAGTTGTGCTGACTTCCCCTGTAGCGTGTGCTGTCCTTCCATTCACCTAAGATGATTGTTATCTACTATCTAGTTAGTAAATAACCCTCACCCTCCCTCCCCACCCCTGTAACCATCAAAGAATGTTTTCTTGTGTGTTTAAACCTTTTCTTGAGTTCTTATAATAGTGGTCTTATACAGTATTTGTCCTTCTGTGACTGACTAAATTCACTCAGCATAATGCCCTCCAGATTCTTCCATGTTATATTTCACAGCGTCATCATTGTTCTTTATTATTGCATAATATTCCATTGTGTGGATATACCATAGTTTGTTTATCCATACATCCTTTGATGGGCACCTAGGTTGCTTCCATCTTTTTGCAATCGTAAACAGTGCTGCAATGAACATGGGTGTGCATATATCTATTCGTGGGACGGCTCTTGTTTCTCTAGGATATATTCCAAGGAGC